ACCACCGGCGGCGCGGACACTTGAGACGACAAGGGTTATCGAGTCGGCAGAGCCGAGGGCCCTCCAATCAGACCAACGATAGGCCCGTCGGCGGGACCTGCGACGGTCATCGAGCCTAGTCCAGCGTCGGTTAGAGAAGGCGGAGGCGTTCACGAGCCGTACGTAAACTGCGCTACACCTCCCCCCCCCCCCCGGCCGACGAACTGAATTCTCGTGAAGCGTGCCTCTTGCATTACGGAGAGCTAACAGTCCATTCCTCTGCAAAGATATTTCCTCCTGCCTTACCATTGTCCGTGGATTTCGATGCATTGTATGTCCTTGGAGGTTAATTTTGCAACGGCAAACACGCAACAATGCGACAGCCCAGAGATTACCGCGAGACAAAAACGAATATAGGCAGATCGTTTCAATGATATTGTCAACGCTTATGAAAGTGAGAAGCTGGTATCAAGACAACAACTATCTACCTATCGACTTTTCTTGACTGAAGCTGACAATTTCTCACTAAGGTGGAAGGAGTCTAATAACCACTGGGCACTAATGTCCACACAAGATCAACTGACCCCCAGGCCCCAGGTCACTAGTAAAAGGCCAAATCGTACTGGTACAGCCTAGTGCCTACCACTTGATATGATACATTTGACTTACTATCACTATTACTACAGTCTCCAACCCCAGCTAGCTATCAATAATAGAAAAGGAGTTCCTGGGCACAATTATCATCTGATTATTTACAACATAATTGCTGGAATGTAGCAACACCCAGACGCCCCTGTTGGTTGCCAGTTGCCACTGATCTTGGGGACCCTGGTGCCTTTGACCTTGCTTTGACCCTCATTTCTTTGGGCACTGTTGAGGTTGACCAACCGGCAACTCTCAGGTGGGACCGTCTGTCTGTTTGCTAACTGGGCCTCTAGGGTGTGAGATAGGATGAGATTATCAGGTGACAAAGGTCTCATTGACATAAGGTTCTTGTATCACCTTCACATGAGTTCCAGTTCATGAGTACAAAGAAGTTTACACATAGGTAGTGCACTGCATATTGCACAAATGAATGTAAAAATTGAGGCATTTGAATATTGCATGAATGACACTGCACTTCAAAGATTGCAAATACAATGTCAATAAACTTAGTATCAGGCAGCATATCAATGTTGTCTAGTCCCCAGCTGAAATTGACATGCCATTTGCTGCAATGTTGTCCCACCTCTGCACTTGACTTAGTCTGTTGTAGACTCTGAGACTTACAGAAACCTATTGACATATCACAATCCAGAACTTTTTTCTAGATAAAAATGTCTTTATGTTTTAAAGCACAGATTTTCCAGGCAAAAACTAAGAACTAATTCTTGGAACACCTTGATCTGCAGGTCTTGATCAGCAATCTATAGGTATCATTTGATCAAAAGAGGCTTGGTCAGCTCATAAAAAACAGCCTATTAATATGCACTGACTGATGGACCTAGTGTCTCCAAAAAAAGTATTTTGTCCAACTTCCTCAGGTCCGGTTGGGTGGTTGATTACAGAATCCCTGGCCAAGCGAGCAGGCAACAACGGAAGTAATGAAATCAAAATATGATTAGCTTATTCGTTTAGTAGGAAAAGTTGTGCTTGGATGAGTGTCTCACAAAATGTCATCATAGTATGCCAGGAAGCTAAAAGCAAGCAAATATGGATGAGAATTGCTATCATAAACCTAGCTGTCGGAACATAATATTTTGTCAAAAGCAATGCAAATTACATAACAGAAATAAGCAAAAAATGGATGTTTTATACTGGTCAAACAGTTAAAGTTGTGACAAAAATTGGCATTTATAAGATCAGTAATGTAAAATAACCCTCTAAGGGACCTACCTTCAGATAGTTCCAAATCCAACTCTGCCAGTCGTTCCTTCACATCGTCCGGTATCTGGGATGGGTCCACGTCGCCAGCAGACATGGCACTGACTTGATGTGCTACGTATCATGAAGCACAATAAGCACCAGTAGTCCTAATCCGCTAATTTCAATTCCATAAAAAAAAATCACTTCAAACACATCATAACAAGAACGACCGCAGAGCACACACCACCACACGCACCACGATCGCCTCCATTCTGACAATAGTGCTGGACAAAACCCAATCCGATATTCTAGAGCTGGGCTAAATAAATAAAGTACCGGTACTCTTCTTTTCAGGTCGTTTCGGCAAACGAAAAAGAGAAATAATTAAACAAAGAAATAATAAAGATTTACGCATTCTTTCATTCATTATTCAAAAAAAAATGCACTCAATTTGACTTTCGAAGGATAAATATATCTATGGATAAAACGATAAAAACAAGGGAAAATGAGAAAAAACAATCAACCATGTAGAGCAGCCACATTCTATTTCAAGTTTCAAGAAATGCGTAGGCTGATTATGCAAAAATACTTCATTATCATTAGGTACATGCGCTTGTGCACGCATTATGCTCATGCCAGGTGGCAGGTCGCTACCAAAGAACTTAACAAAAGTTTTAAAGTGTTAAGTGTGCAAACAGCATACGTCGAGTAATAACAATAAATGAACGATAATGAAAAAGGAATTAGGAAATAAATAATTTCGAAAAAGAGAATTAGGTACGTTTGAAAGAGACCATGCAACCAACGTTTGAAAAAGAAGCCGTGTATGTGTCTTTGCGTGCGTCCTTTTACCAACTGATAAGCATTGTCATTTGTCCGGGAGAACGCTAAGATAGTTAGGTAGCAGTCATTGACGAGAGAAGGTTTCATTCTAGCTTTCGGCTTCCTCAGTCAGACTGACCCGTCGCCGTCAAACAATGACTCATCGAGGTTAGTCACTAAGTCAGGCTATGGCAGTGACTGCCGACTCGGCGCCCGCCCCGGATCACTCAGACACTCGTCTCTCCGGAAGAAAACCGAGGGTGTGTGCGCTGCCCAGCGGTTCGAACTCGTGCCGAACTTCTGAGTCACGTAGCCGGCGGCTCTGGCAACTCTCACCCTCCTGATGAGCCTGACCCAGCGAATGGTGGCGTCGAGACTCGAGAGGACTGAGGTCTCTCTCGGGCCGACCGCCGATGGAAGCATTCAACCTGAACCGGAACCGATAATGGATGGGTGAGTTAATTGACACGCGGCCGCTGGTGGCTTTTTTTTTTTTTTTTACTTCCCCACCCTACAAAAGTTTTAATTCACCGATATCTCACGGTTCGGCACGCATGACGCATGCATAAGGTTCACATGTTAACGTTATGAAATTTTCAGACACAGGTTCAGGCAAGATTCCTTTACTACTCGGTTCAGGCACCGACGGAGTCGATCCGCAGCTCAGTCGGTAGAGCGTTAGACTCCGCGTGGTAGAGCACGCGTTCCCGGTTAAAGCAGTCCGGGTTCGAAGCGCGACGGGCGCTTGACGTTTATGAGCCTCCTGACAGGTATGGTTGCGGGTGGTGCCGGTGGCAGGCCGTAGCCAGGCGAAGTCAGTGAGGGGGCCAGCCGTGCGCGGCTAAGTGCGATTGGATTAGGTGCGATTGGATTCCAAATTCTTCCATCCATAGAACCGGAATAGCGCAATCGGAGGGTAGAGGGCAGGGTCAACGCAACAATCTTCGCTTAGCGAGGGCCTTGTCCTGGTGAATCCTTCTATTCATGAAAAAGGATCGGACTAAATTTATACAAAAAAAGGTTATTCAATGTTAGATAGGTAAAAAGATCACGGGCAAGTGACCACCTAAAATAATGGATGCCTATGTACCTAAGCCATTAATTTTTGCCGTAATTACACCGACGGCATGAATGTCATGTGATTCAATTTTTAAGTTAAAAAAGTTACATCATCTCATATTTTCGCTCATTGACCTCAGAACAGGTCTATTTGTGATCTCTTTACCAGCCCATAGTCAATGAAAAAATGATTTCTACCTTTATCGGACGAAAGTCAAACGTCTCCAGTAGCGGCGGAACACCTTCAAGTAAGGGGGGGGGGCACTGCCGACTTTTGGTCCCCTCCTTTCTATGCAACGCCCCATGCGACTAATGTTAATATTGAGACGGGTTACACAACACATTGGGTGGACGCGTTTCGTCTAAATGACTTTTTCGACACCCTCTCGGAAATTTTTCGACACCCTTTCGGACTTTCTCGACATCCTCTCGGACCTGTTTCTCGAGACTGTATTTGGCCGGAATCGCGATTCGGTGTAGGTATATGTGATGTCACTGACCTTATTCGCGCGTTAGTCCAGTCTTTTGGTGATTGTAAAATGTAAACGTTCAAACATGTTAATCGGCTTCACGTGACCTTTGCACCTACCATAAAGCATGGGCCATGGCCCATGGGACTGATTATAATTCGGTCCCATGCTTTATGGTGGGTGCCAAGGTCTCGTGAAGGACAGGTCAAGGTCATTGATCTTAGATGGTCTTGGCTCGCTTTTTCGAGTTTACATGTTTCTAGGCTAGTTTTTGGAATTGATTTCAAAACTAGCATCCATATATCTCAAAAGTTACGAAGTAGTTTAAAATAATTAAATGCCTTCGTAACATGTTATGAAATATGACGTCTGGTTGAACCTACTATGGATATACGGCACGACGCCTACTAATTGACCTGACCTGACCTGACCTGGCCTAAATGCATGAAGACATCATACGTGACTGTGAGCTATGTGACCAAGTGCCAGTCTCTCGTCACGATGTTCTATACACCCTGTTCGTCACGGCAGTGCGATTATCATGTAGGTATCAATAAACATACTAATAAGCTTCTCCCGTTGCTACCGATAGTTGGCCACGATAGTTGATAGTTGGCAACAATCAGGAACCTGCACATGGCAACAGTCAGGAACCTGCACATGAGTTCTCATTCTTTAGCATCAGAAAAGTCAGAAATGTATTTATCAGGAAGTTCGTGCAATAAAAACTTCAGCTCTTATTTTATGAAGGAAAAATAGAAATATGGTAGCAGTGGAAAATTGGCAGCTTAAAAAATGGGCATTCCTGATGCACGATATTTTGCCGCAAACATCTGGCTGAAATGGTTGGGGTAGTATGGGTTGGCTTCAAGCCGTTCTAATTTAATGTTAGGTACAATATATTTTTTTTTGTGAAATTGCTAGCTGCTTGAGCTGGTTCAAAACCATTATTTAAGGTGAGTTAGAAAGAAGTTGTCGCATGTGGCTTGTACTGACTTGTTTTTGAAATTTGCGGCGAAACCGGCGCGGCATGGGTTTTGTCATTGATATAACAATAATAAAGTATATTGTACATATACATGCAAATTCTGATATTGATATATTTTATGTATAATGCTACCCAGCAGTGAACAGCATAAGTGAAAGTAAAATTTTGAGAAAACTAGATGCTGAGGGATGGCTACACCTCCATCGTCCATCTTGTCGCATTACATCAGTGTTCTAAAATTGGATATTGGTTGGGTGTGCCGATGAAGAAAAAATCCTAGGATGAAAAAAGAAAGTAATTATAGTCCATTTTATTTCAAAAGGCGCACGGCCCGAAAATCGATTTTAGAATTCTTACCTCGTATTCTTACCTCGTTGGGTTCCTCTTTGCCTCGCTTGTCCGGATAGGAAGGGGTCAAGTTGGGTGGATGTAAGGAACCCTAAATGAAAGAGACGCGCCAGTCCAAATGGTGACAGACAAGAAATAATAACATTTAATAATGGACCAGAAGTTGCGCCTCGCGAAACATAGTCGTACAAGATAGACCTATATCATATAAGAAAAACAAGTTTTAAGACGATACCTACCTATAGAGTTATCATTACCACAACACAGTTCACATTTTCATATCAGTTAATCTACATAGTCGAACAGTTTGCTACGAATACATGTATCGAGAATGCGTTTTAGGCTATTAATATTAGTCGCGCATGCTGCCTCTGCAGGCAGCTCATTCCATATACGAATACAGCGAACAGAAAAAAAGCGCTTGCGAGTGTCAGTTCTGGTGGCTGGGGGAAATATCTTACATCCGTGACCCCTGGTGCCGCTGCGATAGGGCCTCTGGAAAAGGTCATTAGGATTAATACAGGAGTGGTTATTTAGGATTTTCCAGTACTGGATCAGGTCGGCCCGCAGCAGTCTACCCTGTACCGAATAGAGGTCCAATGCAGCTAACCTTTCACCATAGTTAAGTCCAGTCATTCCATCAATGTGTCTCGTCCATCTCTGCTGAACCCGTTCAAGAAGTCGAAGGTCTTGTACATACCCGGTATTCCAAATGCAAGAACAGTACTCCATGATTGGTCGGATGTGGGTTGTGAGAAGGGACAGCATAAATTGAGGAGAGCGACACACTGTGGACTTAAGTAGGCTTTCAGCTAGGCCACCCGCCTTATGGGCTACATTTCGGATGTGTTCATGAAACTTCATGGTGACATCAACAAGGACGCCCAAGTCAGAGGCCTTGCTTGCTGGAGTTATCGGAGCACCATTCAGGATGTAGGATGGCTGGCTAATGTTGGGACAGGGTCCAGCAAAGCGTAGGACCACACATTTTTTTGCGTTCATGTGCAAACCCCACGATGTGGCAGTCCTCAGCAAAACGTCGATATCATGTTGAACGGAGTGGTACATAGGGGAGCCCGGTGCCGAGTCACGTTTGTGCTCAAAGCTGCTGTATATTTTCAGATCATCTGCAAAGATTTTGTAGTCGCAATTAAGATCGGATGCAATGCTATTCACATAAATAAGGAAAAGGATCGGGCCCAACACAGACCCCTGGGGCACACCACTGAGTACAGGTCTGGAACTGCTTGACTTGCCCTTGACACATACCCTCATGAACCTGTTTGTGAGGAATGAAATTATCCATTTCAAAAGATTTCCATTGATATTTAGGCTTATCAGTTTATCTATAAGCAATTCATGAACAACTACATCAAACGCTTTACTAAAATCGAAAAGAACAACATCCGTTACCGCACCCTCATCTGTCCGTCTTGACACGTCATCATAGACCAGTAGCAGAATTGTCACGTTCAAAGTGGTGGTTTTGACAAATATCAACAAACACCGGTTTGGCACTTGGCACGTTTCGAAATCAGACTGGTCGGCTGGTCTCTGATTTGCGATAAAGTATAGACATAATAAGACTCAAAATGAGGAACTGTGAATTGAAAATGCTTCCACACGGGGTCTAGCCATAGGCCCTAAACAAATGATTAAAATGATCACGTGGATGACCTGTTTGCACGCCTACAAAAATAACACACGGATTGACATTTTGTTTTAAGTTTATTTCCTGGTAAGTACAAAAAGAAACATGCGCCAGCATATCTGCCGACCTATTACAATACTGATCGATCGATTTCTGCATTGGGATAAAGTCGGTGGAAGGAGTTGTTGAAAAGACGACCGAAGTTTCTACGTAGCATGCGAAAACACAATGTAAGACAACAATATAGAGCGTCACCAGCTTCAGCGGCTGACAATGACATGTTTTCCATGAGCCTGCCGTTCAGAATTCTGGCCCCCGACAGAGCGTTGTAGCAAAAATCATTGTTCTCTCTTGGTTGTTTAAATATTTGCCACTTGCTAGTTTCCCAAGTGATGGGCTGGCTGTGGAATCAAGGTTACTACAGGAGTGACGTTACATTAGCATGCAAAATTAACAGAATGGCTCAAATCTATGAATTTACTAACATTTTGAAACGTGACACAGAATATAAGCTCAACTGAACAACTCGTTCCGTGGCACTGCAGTTCGGTTATCTTTCAAAAATGGCCGAGAAATTCATCTCGGCTTGCGTTATTTTCTAGCGTCTCGCACGTGCTAACTCCAAAATAATACTTCGGGCCATGAGCCTTTTGAAAAAAATGGACTATAACTGCAGTATTTTTGCAAAATGGTGTAATGCCAATTTTTATGCTAACTGATAAACCAGGATTTCATCAGTCAGGATCTTGACAGGGTGTGAAACAAAAAGATGTGGGTGCATCAACTGTCAAGTGACAAGTGAACTGGCCGTTGGGAATACATGAAACTCTTTTCAGAGATGAAGTTAAGTCGGTCATTCATATTTTAGGGATGAAAATATTTTCCCCATTAGGTGTGATTTGCCACCAAAAAGGCTGAAAAATGAAACACTGCATTACATTGCATTTATTTTAATATGTATTAGTTTTAGTTCACAATATTTTTGCACTGTTTTATTTATTCAATGCAGTTTATATTACTGAATCCTTCTGTCAGTTATCATTTGATAGGTATGTGAAGCAAAATGTGTAAATAAGGTGACATCCACGAGTTTGTACCTATTCTACATTATATACCTCTTTTCCTTGGCCCTACAGTGAGAATTTTGCTTGCTGATAAGATTTTTATTGCCAAAATATCATTTGAAATCACTTGCTCTACAACTCTGTAGGTACTGTACCTTTCTGCACAATCAGCTGTTGGATTAGAGTTATGCCCAAGTTAAAAAGGAAAGTGGCAATGTTTTATGACTTGGCAATAAAGCATTGACTGCAAAATTAAAGATAAGAGCCATTGGGCAAGAATGATCTAGAATAGGTACATAATTTTGTGATGTTAAGTTAAAGTTGGATTCCAGGTCTCCTGCCTGAAGCTTGCTTCAGATTTGTAATCATGTCAATCTATACATGATATTTCAAGGTTAATATTGCTCCTAGTTCTTACTTTATTCCTGTTGGGTATATTGAAATTAAGGTTCAATTGCATAGGCTTGTGCATTCAATCATGTGCCTGTCCTATGTCCACATAATTTATGTGGTTCTACAGGGTGTCTCAAAAAAAGTGTCACGGTTTTGAACATCTCCCAGTTCGTAACCGTAAGGCCTACATCATTCAAATTTTCCAGATTTAGTGGCAATGTTTTGACATTTTATGTGGCAAAACTACAAGTTCTTAGGCAGAATGGTTTTTACACTAGAACAAAAAAAATAAAAAGCTCAATTTTCGTGCTGTAGGAGATGGTACGTCACAGCCTGCCGTCGATCCTGAAGAGTCTGGGCCCCTTTCGCCTGATCATGAATCCAGAAACAAACTCAGCAATACATTTTTGAAATCTTTATAGGTAAGAACACCGTGTACAACTGCCATCTGGAGCACAGCAGCAAGCTGAAGCATCAAGCATAGCCACAAACATGGGCAACGATCAACACTGATTGATTGTCAGACGACGCGAGTTTCCATGCCTCGACAGTCGACGGTTGGTCGACGGCATCTTTGATGGCAAAATCCTCTACTCGGTTTTGTTCCGAAACACATAAAGAGAAGAAAGGATAGATGATGGACAGTTTTAAAGTTCCTACACAAACTTGCACAGCTTCTGGGTGTGCGCAATGTGGCAGTGTGTCACGTGTCACAAGTCCTTCGCACGGTGTCAGCGACTGCAGCTTTTGTCGGAAGAGTCAGGCAAGTCAACGGCGCTGTCCTGAGACTAATGGGTGGTTGCAATTCCATTGTCTGTTTTGCGTGACGTTTTTTGGTCTCTAATAGTTGTAGATAATTACTGACAAGCACGTTGCTGGGTGCAACAAGCAAAAGCCGAAGCCTTACCGAAATCGTCGGCAGACTGTGACGTATACCATCTCCTATAGAGCCCGAAATCGAGTTTTTTTTTATTTTTTGTTCCGGTGCAAAAACCATTTTGCTCAGGAACTTGAAATTCTTCCACACAAAATGTCATAATATTGCCACTAAATCTGGAAAATTTGAACGATGTAGGTCATGTAGTTAGGAAATGGGAGGCGTTCAAAACCGTGACACTTTTTTTAGACACCCTGTACTTGATATAATAGTACAATGATAATAGCTTTTTATACATCATCTACAAGTTATCAGTACATAAGGTTTTATTGGCTATGATTTTTAAAAAGTGCTATAAGATGAAGTCCTTAGAAATTATGTTAATGCTAATAATGTCCCCTTGAGTTGGTCTTTGTCTGACCTTGACTTTATTCAGAATCTCTGTATTTTCCATTGATGTATGCCCTTTACATATTACTTCACCAAGTTCTTTTGCCACTTTTCAAATCAGTAAGCCATCATTTGTCATTTTTCAAACATAAGCATAGGGTCTTGGTGAGCTGAAACTGTATCAACATTTTTTATGTCATACCTAGCATTTTTCTTTTACTATTAATAGTAATAGTCATTAATAGTCATTAATAATAATAAATAAATATTATAATAAATATTAATATATTATATATATATATATATATATATATATATATATATATATATATATATATATATATATATATATATATATATATATCCTCTTTGAGGCAAGTTTGGTTGAATACGATCGCGTATTTGTTTTTTATCACTTTCTTTTGAAGCTTTTCTTTCTTTCTTATCACTTTCCGGTCAGTTTCTGGCAGCTGGTGTAAAGTATCTCCAATGTTCATACATGCATTATATTGATTTACGTTTTGCGACGCGTTTCGAAGTACTCACTTCGTCATCAGGCATTTACACTTTACACTCTCATCACATTTAACACTTACATTATATCTAAGTTACTTCATACATTTTTGTTGACCTTAAAACAAATGCGATGTGACCTGTCAAAATTCAGTGCACGGTTGTTCGAATCTAGTTCGAAAATTCAAACGTGCTGCTTCCATCATGCAACATCTCCATCTACTACCACCGATCTAGCAGATACTAACGTATCAGAATGAACGAAATGTCTCGTTCACTATACACTGAACAGTCCCCTCCCCACACACACACACACACACACACTTCACCATCACCTCCTATCCTGTCAGCGTGATCCGTCCCCTGTGTTCGCGCTGATCACACATGGACGGGCAGTGTTCTAGGATGTAGGCGGCCTCGAGGATCCTCAGCTTCCACATGTTATTCTCCCTGTCCAAGATGCTTGTGTTGTCCACCATGTCCTGTCTTGTGATGCGCTCACCGTGGGCACGCTGGGAGTGTTCAGCTGGACCACCCGCAGACAGATGGTATGAGAGTCGGCGGGACAGGGTCATCGTTGTGCTGCCTATGTAAGAGGATGTGTCTCGGAGCTTGCAATCTCCTTTTTGACAATTGTATTTGTAGACAACATGCGTCTCTTGCAGGCAGCTTCTTTTGGGAAGCTGCCTACGTCTTTTCGAAAAAATTTGAAAGACCCTACGAATGAATTGAAAAAGAAGGCAAATCAAGTAATCGAAGCCGCAAATGCAGTCGTAGACGGGGAAAAGTTTCAACCGATTGTGGGAGATTTCGCACCAGGATATCTATACGGAACGGTAAAGACACACAAAAACAACAACCCACTGCGACCTGTCATCTCACAAATACCGACACCAACCTATCAGCTAGCCAAACGTCTGAACTCTCTACTTACCCCATACATTCCGGTCCAGAACACGCTGAAGTCGAGCGAAGAATTCCTGGAAATTATCCAATCGAGTCAACCAGCCGGGATTCTAGCATCTCTGGACGTGGAGAGTTTATTCACGAACGTGCCCATCAATGAAGCCATCGACATCATCACGGAGTATGCTTTTAGCCATGATAGTCTACCACCACCCAGGGGCCTATCACCCGAGCTTCTCAAGAAAATGCTGCGCATTTGCACCATGGAAGCCCCCTTCAGATGCCCATCAGGGAACCTGTATCGTCAGATCGACGGCGTTGCAATGGGGTCCCCACTTGGGGTGCTCTTTGCAAACGCATACATGTGTGCGGTGGAGGACAAGGTGCTCTCCAAGCTGGACAACAAGCCTGCTTTCTACAAGCGCTACGTTGACGATGTGTGCCTACAGGTTGAAGACGCTGAAGCTCTAGAAGTTGTGAAGAAAACATTCGAAGACAACTCCGTCCTCAAGTTCACGTACGAGATTGAAGAAAGAAGCAGACTCCACTTCCTTGACGTTGACGTGGACACAGCACAAGGAGGCAAGTTTGTCACGCAAGTGTACAGGAAGCCAACTGACATCGGCCGTTGCATGAACGCTCGCAGCGCGTGCCCCAAACGCTACAAGACTGGCATGATACGCACATACGTGCGCAGAGCCATGACACACTGTAGCACATGGGAGCTAGTGCAACAAGAGCTTCAACATGTCAAGCAAATGTTAGTAAACAACGGCTACTCCTGTACAGACATTGATGCCGAAGTCAAATCAACACTGGACAAATACCAAGCGAGACAGTCACACACCAACGGCAGAGAAATGACAGGTGAAGACCAGCCCAAACCCAAGTCTCAAGTTCACAAGCTGTTCTACATGAACCAGATGAATGAGGCCTACCTGAGTGACGAGAAGGTGTTGAAGAGCATTTTGAAGAAAAATGTGATTCCAAAGGAAGGGCATGAAGTCAAACTGATCGTATACTACAAGAGCCCCAAAACATCCAATTTGGTGATCTGTAACCGCCCCAAAAGAAGCTGCCTGCAAGAGACGCATGTTGTCTACAAATACAATTGTCAAAAAGGAGATTGCAAGCTCCGAGACACATCCTCTTACATAGGCAGCACAACGATGACCCTGTCCCGCCGACTCTCATACCATCTGTCTGCGGGTGGTCCAGCTGAACACTCCCAGCGTGCCCACGGTGAGCGCATCACAAGACAGGACATGGTGGACAACACAAGCATCTTGGACAGGGAGAATAACATGTGGAAGCTGAGGATCCTCGAGGCCGCCTACATCCTAGAACACTGCCCGTCCATGTGTGATCAGCGCGAACACAGGGGACGGATCACGCTGACAGGATAGGAGGTGATGGTGAAGTGTGTGTGTGTGTGTGTGTGTGGGGAGGGGACTGTTCAGTGTATAGTGAACGAGACATTTCGTTCATTCTGATACGTTAGTATCTGCTAGATCGGTGGTAGTAGATGGAGATGTTGCATGATGGAAGCAGCACGTTTGAATTTTCGAACTAGATTCGAACAACCGTGCACTGAATTTTGACAGGTCACATCGCATTTGTTTTAAGGTCAACAAAAATGTATGAAGTAACTTAGATATAATGTAAGTGTTAAATGTGATGAGAGTGTAAAGTGTAAATGCCTGATGACGAAGTGAGTACTTCGAAACGCGTCGCAAAACGTAAATCAATATAATGCATGTATGAACATTGGAGATACTTTACACCAGCTGCCAGAAACTGACCGGAAAGTGATAAGAAAGAAAGAAAAGCTTCAAAAGAAAGTGATAAAAAACAAATACGCGATCGTATTCAACCAAACTTGCCTCAAAGAAGATATATTGCCTGCTTATACACATATATATATATATATATACAGGGTGTTGCAGATAAATCCGACACTTGACAGGCAAAATACGAAATCGGCAATGAAAGCATGAATATTGCACACACAGGCCTGTCATTTTATTCAGCACCAGTTCGAGTCATATGCTGCACTTCTACTCGATGTAACCGCCGTCGGCGGCGACGACCATCTCAAGCCGAGGGCGAAATGATTCGCACGCCTTGGCGTCCGTGCCCTTGTCTACGGCGGCGAACTCTGCCGCGATGGCGGCCTTGAGAGAGTCGACGGTATTGTGTGCGTGCTTGTTGGTCTTGGCCTCGATCACGCCCCAGAAGAAATAATCGAGGGGGTTGCAGTCAGGTGAGGAGGGCGGCCACAAGTCCGGCGACCAGTGGTGAGGGACGTTGTTGAGCAGCCACGCCTGCGTCGTCCTGGCCTTGTGCGCCGGGGCGGAGTCTTGCTGGAAGACGTGGGGGCGTCCGTTGGCGATCCTGTGTTTGTGTTTTTGGGGAGGCAATTGATCATAGAGATGTAACATACTGCCCAACTTTTCATCGTGAGCATAGCACTCGAATAAACACGTTTTTTCCAAGTGTCGGATTTACCTGCAACACCCTGTATATATATATATATATATATATATATATATATATATATATATATATATATATATATATATATAATATATATTAATATATATATTATTAGTCATTAATAATAATATATAATGATATATAATATGATAATAATAGTCATTAATAGTCATTAATTAATGACTTCCTTAAGAGAATACATCTTGCCTGTTCATTTTAATACTTTTAATATTTAATAATAATTTTAATAATAATTTAATAATAATTTTAATAATAATATTTAATAATAATTTTAGTTCATTAATACATTAATAATAATATATAATGATATATAATATGATAATAATAGTCATTAATAGTCATTAATTAATGACTTCCTTAAGAGAATACATCTTGCCTGTTCCATCTGCAGTAAATGAGACAAATGGGAAGGTCTCAGTCCACTGTGGCATTGAAGCTCATCAATGTTCAAAAATAATATTTTGTTTATGCATTAATTTTGCTCATAAAAATCACAACTTTATTTGGCTATTGGTATTTCTGTTAACAAGCTACATTGATAGGTAGATATTTTGTTGCTATGATTGCTGAGATGACGGGTGATCGCAACAGGCAATCTATCTATAGTAGTTGAGCTGCTTCTCATGATCTCGCATTGACACTGCTCGAAATTAATCTTATTTTCTCCCCTGTGCTTTCAGTGACCTGATTTCGCTACCTCAATGCGGCGTGTCCCGGCGAGCCCCACTGCCGCGGCGCCCGGGCCCCTCCCGTCCTCCCGGTGCCGGCCGCTCTGAGAGGCCGCTATGGCCGAGGCCGCGGAGCTGCGCCACCTGGTGGCCGCCCGGCCGGCCGCCTCCGTGCTCAGCGGCAGCGCCACAGTCGACCTGTTCGCCGGGATGCGGCGCGCCGGAGGAGGACTGGACACGGACACGTTCGGCGCGGCGGCGCGCTGGCGGGCCGGAGACGAGGCGGCCCGCCAGCTGAGCGAGACACTGGCCAAAGCCAGCCTGTCCGACTCTGTCAGCACCAGTAACGGCTGTCTGGGCGGCGGCGGCGGCTGGGGCTCGGCCGGCGCCGGCTCGGCGGGCGCCGCGCTCGACACCCTGGCGCTGCTGGGCTCCCTGGGACTGACGGACACCACCAGCTCCGGCGGCGGCGGCTGGCCGGAGCGGCCCACCGGCACCGGCTCGGCGCCGCCCGCCTTCGACGCCCAGTCTGAGTGCGTGCTGAACGCGGCCGCTCAGCTGATGCGCTCCTCCGAACAGCAGATATCGCGGCACAGCAGCGACTCGGGTCACAGCAGCGGCACCAGGTTAGTTCTAATGGGCATGGTTATTGGTTATTAGACGGCGCTCGCAGTAGTGGAAAGTGGTTGTTACTGCCAGTTACCTGTTCACTTATTAACTACATAGAATGACCGAATGTTGCTGAAATATCTGGAAAGCTAATGTATTTTAGGGTTGGTTTTTGAAGCATTACTCGTATGTGATAGAAAACATGTTTTTTTGTGACGCTGCCTGTCGTAATAAGCCTTTCCATTGGTTTCATTTCCCATTTCCCATTATGTAACGCTGCTCTTTGGGCGCTGACTAAGCAGCTGATCAGTATCTGGCGTTTTGTAACAAATCAGGTTATGTAACTCTGTCCCCATTGTCTCCCCTCAGCACCCATTACGCTTTATTCCGCGAGGTCTCGGACTCTCGATCTTTGTCCACGTTGTGACCTCACTGACCGTACCGCTCTCCGCCGCAGGGACGCCTGTCTGATGGGCATGCTCTTCTGCAGCACCTGTGACGATACCTCCATCTCGGCCACACACCAGTGTGTCGAGTGCAACGACTTCCTCTGCTACAACTGCGCGTGTGCCCACCGGCGTGTGCGGGTCACACGCTCCCACACGGTTCTCCCAGTGAACGCCCGTCCCACCGGTAACTGCCCGCTCCACCAGGCAGTCTTCACCATGATCTGTAACACCTGCGAACTGCCACTCTGCTACACCTGCGCGCTGGATCACTCGGAACACAGCCTAGATACGGTGGACGGCGCCGCGGCCATGGCGCAGCAGCGCACCCGCTCCACGCAGCAGGACGCGCAGGCGTTCCTGGCGGCGCTGGCCGAGGCGCGCCACCGCACCGTATCCATGGCAGAGCTGGTGCGGGAGAGATCAGCGCGCGCTCAGCTGGACGCCGCGGCTGCCGGGGATAAGCTACGCGCCGCGCTGGCCGCTTGGCAGACGCGACTGGAGAAGAAGGCGGCGGCCGTGTGCCAGCTGAAGGTGTCGCGGCTCCACCAGCAGGCTGAACAGCTGGATCAGCTGCGCGGCAGGGTGCTGGCTCTCCTCGACCAGTTGGCCAGCGGCTCGGGCGCCGACGGTGACGCCGAGTGGATGGTGCGGGGTCTGACGGCCGACCACCAGCTGCGACTGATGATCGGGCAGGCCCAGCTGACGCCGACGGAGGACGCGGCCGTGAGGTTCGTGTCCCCACCCGGTGGCGCCGCTGTCGAGTCGCTGCTGCGCGCCGCCGGAACCGTCGAGACGGCCGGCTGCGGCGCGCAGAGTCTGCTCATGGAGAGTGCAGCAGTGCCGGTGGTCGGGCGGCCCTACCAGCTGGTGGTGCAGGTGCGAGACCACTACGGCGACGACCGCCGCTCGGGAGATGACCGCGTGCAGGCGCGCGTGGTGACGCCCGACCGGCGCATGCTGAGCTGTGACGTGGAGCACCTAGCCGGCGGCCGGTACCGCGCGGCGTTCGTAGCACGCACCGCTGGGGAGCACACCTTCAGTATCACCGTGAACGGCACCCATCTGACGCACAGCCCGTGGACACGGCGTGCCGTCTCCCCGCGCCGGCTCTCCTCCCTGGGCCCGGTGCGGCTGACGGTCGGCTCGGAGGGAACCGAGCCCGGTCAGCTGTGCCGCCCCTGGGGCGTGGCGTTTGGCGGTGACGGCCGGATCGTGGTGTCGGACCGCAGCAACCACCGCGTCCAGGTGTTCTCCGCCGACGGCCGGCTGCTGCTCGCCTTTGGAGGACCCGGATCGAAGAACGGGGAGCTGAACAGACCGGCCGGCGTGGCTGTCGACTCGATTGAGCGTATCGTGGTCGCGGACAAGGATAACCACCGCATCTGTGTGTTCAGCGCCAACGGCGAGTTTCTGCTCAAGTTTGGCGAGAAGGGTAACCGGCTGGGGATGTTCAACTACCCGTGGGACGTGGCGTGCAACAGCCTGGACCAGATCGCCGTCACCGATACGCGCAACCACCGTGTGCAGCTCTTCTCGCCCGACGGAATGCTTCTGAAGAAATTCACACAGGTAAGAGACGATACGTCAAATACACAAGGCAGGATAGATCAAGTAAAAATTTCTTTTTGGTGCTCACTCGCACTATTTTTAGTCAGTGCTGCGGTTAAGTTGATAGTGACTAGAAAGTAGAAACCAAATGTAGCAGTTATGGTAGACTGCTATCTCTCACCGGAATTATGATAGGTATTAAAAATTTTCATGGCTGTGCTATGCAGGGTTATAACTTGGAGTTGTGCCTTCACCGCCAACTTATTCCGTGCCTCGCCCTACGCAGCACGGTGCGACTTCAGTAAACCATAACTGTTCTCATCACCGCCTTACGGCGACCCTTTCCATTCACAGGACGGCACTGAGTGGAAGGAGCTGGACTCTCCGCGCGGCCTAACGTTCCACCCGGACGGCAAGCTCTACATCACAGACTTCAACAACCACAGGATCGTAGTGCTGGACCCGGACACGGGCAAGATGACCTACCTGTGCCGCGAGGGCTCCGAGCCCGGCCGACTCCTGCGACCTCAGGTCAGTTTTATTCGACGCTACTCGTCTCTTGTTGGCGATAATATTTGGATCTTCAGGGGCTTGTAGTGCCCTAAAAATGCCCTTATTGATAGAATGTCCCATTAGCCAGCTCCGTGGGGCTGGTCGACCCCAGGACTCTGACGTCTTCGAATACATTTGAATCTCGGTGACATTGCGGGATGATTTCAGTTTAGTTTTCATATGACTGGTCAAACACGGGGTTTTAATATTTCTTTGCTTTGCTGAGTTTCGCTGGCTTTTGCTGTCAAATCTGATGGGCAGTAACTCATCCATTCCTGCCCGGCCTTCGTCTCCAGGATGTCACTGGCACCCCGTGACACCCCTAGGGCGGTGGCCGACTTCATCCCTCTGCTAACCGCCCCCCTCTCTGTCCTCAGGGTATTGCCGCCGACGACGAGGGCCGTCTGTACGTTGCGGACTGCCGCAACTCACGCGTCCAGGTGCTGACGCCACACGGCGAGTTCTTGATGAAGCTCGGTGAGCACGGCAGTCGGCCCGGTCAGTTTGACCAGCCGCAGGGCGTGGCGATCGGACCGAGCGGCCAGCTGGCTGTGGTCTGCCTGGAGAACCACCGCGTGCAGCTCTTCTGAGGGGGCGGCCCGTCGGGCGGTCCCCTACAGGCCAGTGAGGTGCTGGGGAGCGGGTAGAGCCGCGGAGAGGGAGAGCAGAGACTGAGGACTGAGTAGAGAGAGAGAGAGAGAGATGACTTTGGAAGTTCAGTGGTGACGAACTTGGACTATGACTGAATGATTCAGGTCTACAGTAGTCGAGACGGGCTGAGGCTGGTGGCCTGGTTATTGGGAGAGGACACTGGACTGGTTTATCGGGCAGCGTATGTCCGCTACAAACGGCAGGGTATCTACCTCGTCACGCGCACCGTCGCGGAACGATCAGGGACTTTTTGGGCGACCGGGGACGGTTAAATAGGCCGTCTCCGGCCGCCCGCGTGTTCAAACATATGTACCTTTATTTGTACGGGTAACAGTTACGTGTGTTTCGGGGACGGGGTGCACGCCGCCCCGACCCCTCGGGTACAACGCCCTAATGGGCCAACGACTTCTCAGGAATGAAGACAGGGTCGATGTGCGTATTCTATCGCCTTGATTGTACATAGATGTAATTGCGCGCGGCTGGGCGGCTGCATATGTATTTAGCAGCTCGTCCAACGTCGTGTGTTGCTTGCCAGGCGCTGTCGCGCTCGCGTGAAGCGGGCTCCGCGGGGCGGCGCCCTGTACAAAGTAGGGTTTCAGGCTGGTGCTGTTCAGACGGCACCTCTCAGGGTTGCAGGCTCAGGTTCAATCTGGGCGCGCCAGTGGCGCCGGCGGTGCGCGGTTCCTCACGTTACCGATACGGGTACCTTGGTCGACAAGTAAACAGCGCTACGCACCGGTAGAGGCCGCAGCCGCGCGCGCGCGCCACCTCAGCCGTCTCTGAGACGGGGAGGGCGCCGCCCGGCAGCGCGGCTCGAGTTCCTGTATCGCGTGGCCGGCTCGGCAGGGCCGATGACGCGTCACGGAGCCGAGGGCACAGCTGCCCGCTCCCGGTCGGCGCGTCACGCTGCCGGGTAGCCGTCAGACGGAATCGCGCCAACTCCGTCAGACGGAAGTGTACAGGGTTTGAGCTGTCAGACGGGTGGAGCGCGCCGGCGGCGTGTCGGGGCTCTCCGACAACATTGAGAGACGTGAGAGCGCTTTTGACAGTTTTTCTTCTATCCTCTGTACACTATTAGGGAGTTAGGTTGACTGGCGTGGTACGGTTTGTGACTAGGAAGCCACGACAGTTGCGTAGGACGGCATTTCGGTCGGTGCTGGCCGTATGCCGCCGTGCACATACGTACTATGTAGCCAGGAGCTGGAATCGACGCGCAGGTTTTGTGACTATAACGGGGTGTGCGGGTGCATCGTACCGATGAGAGCTGTGTGAGACGGGGCGGACGGCGGCCGTCGCGCTGCGGGTCGGGTGTTCGGGTGTATCGTGCTGTTCGGAGCTGTGCGGAGCGGGAGCGGGCGGCGGCCGGTGCCTCTGCTGCGACCCGGCCGCCCCCTCCCGGCTCCTGGCGGGTATGCTGCGTGAGGGCCGGCGAACGACTACGGGTTCCTGAGAATGGTTCGGGTGTGCCTGGCGGGGCGAGCTGGGGTGTGGGGGCGGGCGAGGCTGCCGCAGTCCCCGTCCCTGCCGCCGGCCGCCGGCGCGGGCGGGTCGATTTTCTGATCACGGGTCTGCTGGTAAGATTTTAGCTATACGCGTGCGAGCGGTTTTACGTGCGTAATCTTGTCTCTGTAGGGCGCTGCCGCCTGTGGTGCTGCTGACGAGGGAGCCGCGGGGCCTCAGGCCCGCCGGCGCCCCCCAGTCCGGTTTAACCAGCGTGTCGACCTCAGGTCATTTGGCGCGCGCCGCGGGCGTGACCTCAGGTCGCCCGGCTCTCAGGGTGCGCTGCGGCGCTCACATCCGACTCAGGGATTCAGCCGTGCTAGCGATGCTAGTTTAGAAGGATCAAATCCAGGTGGCCGGCGCCGCGCCGCGCGCCCGGCGATGGTTTAACCGCGCTCCGCACGCTGCTTCGCGCGCTGGCAACACACCGGTCTGTTTCGGCTGTAAGCTAAGACTGTATGCTGTATGATATTCTCGCTTCACTCGCCCGCTCGTTGCCCGCTGCTTTTGCTAGAGGGTTGGCAATTTTGCCGACTTCTCGCGAGCGTACTTCACAGCTCCTGCCTTCTACCCGCGAGGTGATTTGGTTTTTAGACGCTTTTATCCCCGGAGACAGCCTTATATGTATTCTGTTTAAACTACTGGGATGCTTATTGTCCTGTCAGTGTGATGCGGCACGCGTATTTCAGGACCATGCCAACAATCACGAATCACGGTGGCAATTGGCGAAATTCGGCCCGCGCTCACGGCTCTGTTTATAGGTGTTGTAATCATTCTCTTATCGTCTCAACTTTGCGTGCGTTTCAAAAATAAAGTTCTTCTTTACCTACTGTGTTTACGTCCGAGTGTTTGAATCAAAGCCTGAAGAGCGAACCGCGCCGTGATGAAATCAACACACCTGCGGCGGTATGGGCAGCCATTACAAAACGAACATCACTCACTGATGGTCGTATCTCTGAGTCCAGTGAATGATACACTCGCGTTCTCAAACCCACAGCGCCTGTATTGTGTATATCGTGCATTCGACCATCATCCGATGACCAGTCAGTCACCACTCGCACAGTTCCTCCGTGGCGTGAGCCGGGTAACACGTCTACAATGAACATCAGTGTCCGCCACAGGCCGAACAGCTATGCGAACAGCATCGGCGAATTCTGACACATCGAACACACGCGTCGGTGAAACTCGTTTCGTTAGAGAACGCCGCTTGGTAAGTTGTGTCAAACATTCTCCCGCCCGCGCCGTGACGTCACGAAAACAGCGAGATAATGGTATCAGCTGGTTGACGAAATGAGGCGCACTTCCGACTTTCAGCGTGGTGCCGGAACACTGGGTTTGCCAACCGTCTCACCCACGCATGCATCTGAAGTCTGAACCACTGATAGGCACGACTCTCGATATCTTCTGTGCGCGACCGACTGACTCGAGACGATCGCACTGAGATCACTGATACGGTCAACTCCAGGCACAAATGGCTGAGGAGGACACAACTTCGAGTATTTAACGCATACGCTCAGACAAACGGTTATATCGGGATGCATCACAAACATAAGACATGCATATGTGGTGACGCCAATGGTGATACGAGACCATGCTTGGGTTTCGATAACACCAAGACAAATATTAATGTGATAAAAACAATGCTACTTGACTGATAAGGTGAATGGAACTCAGAAGCATGTGAGGTTAACTTAGCGGAACTTGAAGGTCAACAGCGCTTCATAGTAACGTTAACAGTTCCCGTAACGACAACAAACATTGAAGGCAGCCATCCTTGCCGTCCCCCTTTCATTCCGTGCATCTCCTCACACACCACCAAACGGAGTCGGGGAGACGGCCGAGAACATGTGAGGCACCCGAGAGCCAAACTGGCCTCGCGTCCTGGTGCACTCCAGATCATCTGTCTTGCTGTGCGGCCGTTATCACAGCTTCCACCGCCAGCTGACGGACAGGAGACAGTCAAGAAGGCGTAGGTCTTCCATCCACCGCTCGCGGCCCGGGAGACCTAGAGGCTCCGTTCCTAAGGCGCCGACGCCGCTACGTTCATCACACCCGCCATCATCTTGGCGATTTTCATTTCGTTGTTGAGCACTGAGGCGCGGACTGCCGAGATCTTGTCGAGCTGGTCCTGGATGCTCTGTTCGTACTCGGACAGCGCCGCCTTCAGTGGCTCAATAGACGTGTTGGTTGTGCTGTGCGTAGGGAAGGCGGTCAGCGAGGCCCAGCAACGCGGTCATGGGGTGGGCGTGACATAATGGTATGAGAAGTTACGATCAGTAGTAGCGATCTAGCACGGCAGGCGAACTTATTGCGTGTTCCATAGCCAGTGCCCTGAATCGATATCAAGGAATGCGAAATGAAGTGACCCTTTTACCGAAATGAAAGTGAAAGTGAAAGTGAAAGATTGTGACATGCCCAATATGTGCAAGCATCCATATACATGAGTGACATGTGATTCACGATGTACGTGTACCTATACATCATATGTGCGTATATGAACGAAATAAATGTTTAAAAAAAAGAAATGAAAGTGACGTTTCTTCCATACATGAATGAACATAATCTGGCCATACATTGACGTCCTGGGCAGCGGGCAGTGGACACATCCGACATTTACTCACAAACATTGTTTGGACGCACACGAGGGGTTAGGTAAGCGGTCTCCATTAAAAAGTGTGCGTCAATTAACTAGCGGGATACGGTGAACTAGTTTTTAAAGCATACTCACTCCATTTCTGAGCGGATTTGTTGCGTCATTTCCTTGTTTTCCAGTCTCCATTTGTCCAATTCACGCTGCATCGAATCCACGTCCTCTTGAAGGAAGTCCATCATTTTACCTACGGCAGGAATAATGCGTCAGTTTGGATGCCTTTCTGACGTTGCAAGACTCTACGATGCATAGAAGTACTCTAAGACTGCGGCTAGTCGGTTAGATTGCAATGAAGGCCTACAATAACACAAAAGTGGGTTCCATCGCCGCTATCGGTTATTCTGAGGCAACGACGAAGATTCATGGCAGGGAGCTACGATTGGATGAATGAACCCACTGAATTGTTCATTCAGTAGGTTCATTCAGCTATTGTATGTGTGTGTGTGTGGGGGGGGGGGTACCCACACAATGGTACCCCATACCAGGGGTAGGACACCCACCTAGCGGGTTGGCCGACTTGGTGACCTTTTGTATGCTCTCCCTGAGTCGGGCCACCTCCTTACGGACGGCGTCCTTGTCGCGACTCTTGCCCTTGTCGGCGCCCGAGTCTCGCTCCTGCCGACGGACGGTACAGAGGTCAGGTTACTGATGGGAAGCGGGGGTAAGGGGACACCGCACGGTGATGGCTGGCTCGGATTTCAGAGCCGACTTCGACTGCGGAACACGGATGTCAGATGAGACGGGCGATATTTGAGATGAGTGGGGGTAGACTATTAGTCCTTACCGAGCTGTGAAGGCAATCAATCAAGTGGTTCCAAAGCAATTGATGAAAGCTGATGCGATGCGTTATATGGACGAAGATAATAACTGTGTGCATTGTGCTTATGAATAATAATCATTGATGCATTGTAGTGCAAGCGTCGCATACCATCCATTAATTCATTATCGCACTCGAACGATTCGAAAGGGAGCTTTGCTACAGTTTCCAAAAGTTACCTACTTGTAAAAGAAATCGACTGGTTGGACCATTTCGCAATTAATGTCGTGCGTTTTGGACTCATGAAAAATAAGCAAATGAACAATATCGACCAAATATGATTATCATTCTATTTCTAAGTAGACACCGCATATTTTATATCCACCTGTACTCACCCCAAATTCCTTGTTTGCAGATTCCTTGACAGCATAAAGTGATTGTGCCTTGTTATTGTATGCACACAAGTGACCACTCATTACTCAAAGTCATTAGGACTTTGAGTTGCAAATAAAATGCATATTTATAGATTGGTGTCACTATGGTGCATCATCCAGTCATCTCGTGTTTATATAATATGTGATGCGCTACGTCTTAGTGGAGCGCACTTGACGGCGACATTAGGCACATCTCATTCGTAACAATGCAGCACATGCTATATTTGGGCACAGCCGGCACCTGTCACATACCAGACATTCGACAAGAGTTGTGCAAGGTTCATATTGCGTTGCTGTATTTCCAAAGGAAAGGCTGCATACCAGTACAAGAAGGTACTTTTACTTGTGGTTTTCATGGAAAGGCTGCATACCAGTACAAGAAGGTACTTTTACTTGTGGTTTTCATGGAAAGGCTGCATACCAGTACAAGAAGGTACTTTTACTTGTGGTTTTCATGGAAAGGCTGCATACCAGTACAAGAAGGTACTTTTACTTGTGGTTTTCATGGAAAGGCTGCATACCAGTACAAGAAGGTGCTTTTACTTGTGGTTTTCATGCAATCGACGGTCATACCTGGGCGTGACAAACGGTTCCGCGCCAGGGGAGGAGGTGGTGTGTAAGTGTGTGTGTGTGTGGAGGGGGGGGGGGGAGCGTGACCAAGAAGGGTACTGCATAGCTGTAGATCATACAAAATGCATAATGCCATCAATTACATGTGTATGGTGTGCTGAATGTCCACGAGACGTCAGTGGACTCGCTCCGACATTCAATAACAGGATAACCTTGCATTGTGAGCAGGGCACGGACTCCGAGCGTCACAGAGCAAAACTAGGCTAACGCGCACTTACGATTTGCGTTTTTCCCTTGAGCTCCTCCTCCATGGACTTTTTGGTCTCGAGGATCTGCGAGACGAGGAGGCCGTGCTCCCCCTCCTCCGCCTGCTCCGCCAGGTTCTCGTCCGGCTGCATCATCGCCGCCAGACCCTGTCGGGGCGGACAGTTTGTGTCAGGGGACGGGGACAATCAGGTTCACTGCGGTCAACGAGAGCGTCGGTTGATCTGCCGCTGCGTAAATGCTGCTCAAGCTGGACTGTTTAGTGAAGACAAGGGACAATAAAGAAGGCTAGTATTGTGAGTTTTTACGATACCCACAATCTACATGCATTCACGTCACACATTGTGCTATTATGCTTGACATTTCTTTCCTAGTTTGTACACATCTACAGCCAGTAGCCACCACCTCTCTGTCACTTCCTTTGAAACTCATCCCCAGACCCCACCCACCGGGTCAGGTGCCAGTTTCTTCTCCTCGACCACAAAGTGATCGTCGTCGTCGTCATCCTCGTCGAACATGACGGCGGCGGCGGCGGCCGCTCCACCGGGCGCCACATCATCCAGCTGCTGCTCGATGGCCGCTCGCTGTTTGGGTCTCGGGGCCGCCGGCCGCGCGCTGCTGGGCCGCGCTGATCGGGCCGTGCGCGGCCGAGGCGCCGAGAAACCCGTGCCACCGTCACTGCGAAGGACCGGGGTTAGGTCAGGAATGGTTAAACACCTGTGGTGGTGCTGGAAGGGTGCATGACCGAAGGATACATGAAGATGGACGATATCATATGCGACGCGTAGTTTATGTTCACGCATATCAACCATGCGAAAGGTTGTACAGAAACTCCCGGTTATGTAATTTATTCCAACTCATGTCAATATCCGGAGATGCTTTAGCCTAATAAACGTATTGCGACGCCTGTCGGCAACTAATACGCAGCGTAATTTCAACTACGGCGAAACCAGCCGATCATGTTTTACCTGACCAAAGCCATGTATGTACATTGTACATAATCGTCACCCGCTCACGGACCGGTACTGCCCACCCAGCGGTCCATCTGCAGCCTACCGCCAGTACCTGAGCGGGACGGTAGTGTCCATGGTGATGTCGCCCTCCTCCTCGGCCGGCGCCGGCTCGGCCTCCTTGGCCTCCATCTGCAGCTCCGGCTGCGCCTCCACACCGGGCTCCGAGCCCGTCGGAGCAATGTCAGCCATGATGTCCTCGAACTTGGGAATCTTCTTCTCTGTACGGCGACACACAGTGAATTAGGTCAGCTTGGGAGTGAGAGAGCTAAGCGAAGGAACTACGGGGATAAAAAGGGGAGAGAGAGAAAAAAGCGAAAGATCCATACGTGCACCTGACCATACTCAAACGGGTATTACAAATAATTTATAGCTGTTGCCTTATAAGCATTTCAGAATTGCCATCTGAAACCAATCAGTCTGGAATACACGACTCAGTTATTGATGTCGCACTTGCCACATTGCGTCACTGTCGCAGCAATAGCGCGTTATTTTATTCCCCGAAGCAATATCAGAATTAGCAGTAATGCCATCGATTATATCGATTGGTTCAACGGTTACAGTCGTAGAAAAGGTCAGACTGATTTGCGACAAACTAGCTAAGCCATCTAGATACGTGCATAGTTGTTGAATCAATGGCACGGGTGTGAATTATTCATGCTGATTTGTGTAGGTGTGTTTGTCGTTGACAACCTGGTGCTTCTTTTACGGCACTAACAAATATTCCCTTCAGCATCGAAACAGCACGACAAGGTTGCCACTGGGCCAACCTACAAATGGGCAATGTATGTTTATTTCATGGGTCATGGCATTCGGCAATCCATGACGCAAAATAAGCGTGGGTAACAATCCATGTGCAAGACTTATCCACAGGTACGTACGTACGAAGGAAATTCCGGTGCAAGCTAAAAATGATTGCCGATGCCCGTTTCGAAACCCATGATTTAGGAAGCGACACAACCGTGGAACCCACTGACAAGTTCACTCACACGATCGTTGTTCTGTGGAGTGGACCGTCCGTCATTTGCCCGATAATAAAAAAAGCGCATAAGAACAAGACACGGTGGCATCATACACGTAGGTACTCCGATTTCACGGTCATGCAACAGCGAAACCCACAGCAAACAACACTATAATCTCCGCAGTGCGAAGCACCACATCGCAGCCAGTCCTCCAAAGCTGCCGAGGTGTGAGATATGTATGTAGATCTGTGTATGTTTGTCTGTATACACAGCACGCACACAAGCCGACGAGGTTAGAAGCCAGGTAGCTGCGCCTAATAGTGACATTCGAAAACGCCCACAATGAGGACTTGCCGATGTACACTCGTAACTCGTGTAAAAAAGACGAAACGACATGCAGTGGATGGCAAATGACCAGATAAAGGGCTCCACTCCCACTGGCCTGCAAAAGACAAAAGCATGCAGCGGATCCCAACGAATGAAGGCATGCTCAATCTGCACGATAATGCTCATGCACCAATATCTGCCACGCCACTCATTTTTGATGTACGAGTGTATCTTCGACTTCTTCGTATGTATGTACATTGTGTATAACCGTACACATGTAAGTACACGCCACACGGACAAGCATGCAGTGGACTCTGATCGGAACCACACGCTGGTGCTCTGACAGCGCTGGCCGGTCCCGGGCGCCAGCTGCGGACATGAGGCGGACACGGGTGCAGCTGTGCCGGTGCCGACAGAGCTCTCCAGTCACCTTCGTCCTCCTCCTCGAGAGCAGCGGCCGTGACGGGCCGGCTGGAGGCGCGGCTGGGCCGCACCGAGCCAGGCCGGCCGGACACGGGTCGCTGGGAGCCCGGTCGGCCCGACACGGGTCGCTGGGAGCTCGGCCGGCCGGACGTCGGCCTCTGGGACATGGGGCGTGCCTCGAGCACGGCCGGACCCTGGTCCTCCGGCTCAGGGTCCGGCTCCGGGGCCGGCTCCGGTTCCGGGACCGGGTCCGGAGCCGCCGGTGGAGGGACGTTCTCCTCGGCGGGCTGCGGCGCTAGATACGGCCCGCCGACTCAGTCACAATTCAAGGAGCGCGGACAGTCCAGCTACGCGGTGAAAACGGCACGGGAACGCCCACACTGATAACACGCGCCACAGTCGCGTAAGCGAGCTACACACTGATAAGCTCATGAATGAAATAAGGGTCATACCTCGTACCAAATGCCAACTTTAAATCGGATGCATTTAATCACCTTTGTGATTATCATCAATCATCAATTTCACCATTACCTTTAATTAAAGGAAGGAAAGATAGTAAACCAGAGTTTCGAAAATATCGAAAACGACTAATGCTTATTGCTTATATAATATATAGATAGTGTTTGCCTGAAGAGTATTTTCACCCTAATTGACGAAGCACTTGTGCGAATTTTAAAACAGACCTGCTTTTCTTAACACCTTCCTTTATTCCCTCTCTAGTAACATTCAACATATTACATAATTTACTATCGTAGCGTTGCTGAGGGATAAATGTAACCCTACCCCCAAATGATCGCTTGGTTTTCCCGTAAATGCAATACTCATTCCTAAGCTCTTGCACCACACATTCACCAGGACAGAAGACTTGAGCCGATCGTACTTACTTTTCTTCTTCTTCCCTTCTTTGTCATCTTTTCCTTTCTTGCCTTTGTCATCTTCTTTACCCTCTCTGCAATAAAAATACACGTTAAGCATGACCGACATGAATTGGCATCGGCAATATAAAACCATCTAGAAATTCGAATAACCTATCCGGCGCCGTAGCGCGAGGTAGCGCTATTGTTGTGCTATTCGGCCCGATAATTTTAGTAGATTAGGCTTTTTTAATAAACAGATAAAGACTAATTGTGCCCATGGGCCATTAACCCACATGGTCCAGTTGAGGTCTTGCGTTGTTACGCAAATGGCCAACGAACAGTTTTGTTTTCGGTGATGAGTGTTGGCAAAGATGATAGATCGATGGGTGATAGATCGATGATAACAACGTTCAGTTCAACAATATGGATAGACTGACAGTGCAATATTACAATACATAATTACCCTTTACTGTCCGTTGACATCGAACGCCATTTGCCGCTTGTCGCTGGGTCAACCATGCACCGTATCTAGAGTGCATGGATACTTTCACCCTTTTCGTATCTAGAGTGAAAGGGGGTACGAAAACGCCCTCTTCACAGCTCGAAATGTTACTATGGGATTGAATATGCCATGGTGTATATAGGGATTTCTAATTGAATGACGGACTCACCCCTTCTTTTTCTTCGGTTTGTCCGAGTCCTTGTCCTTTGACTTCTTGCCCTTTTCGTCACCATCATCTTTTTTGGACTTCTTTTTATCGTCCTTATCCTTCTTTGACTGAAATAAAACATAAAATACATAGAACGTGATACAATAATTTTTTTAGCATTCTTAATATGAACGAATCGAGTGTGCATAGATCGGAGTTTATTATCAACCCTGTGACATTTGTATGTCGCAATTTACATGGATTAATTGATTACCTTAAAAACTAACTACTGTGCCAAATCAATTATTATACGTTAAATAGAATGAGAAAAATGATCGACGGTAATAGAGGCAATTATTCGATTCAGTCAAACAAGCAAGTCTGAAACGACGATGGAATGAATTTACAAATTATTAGGCATGTGTTTCACATAAACAATTGGGTACAGTCAACACAATTTTGAGCAATGCAGTTTATAAGCTCCCTTTTATCATTCCTCGTATCACACTGGATACCGTAACTACTAACTCCCGGCAAAATTATTATGTCTCTTATTCTCGGCCCGACATTTTTCATTTCTGCATATGCATTCTTCATGTAGTCTGATCATGATGGAAGTAAAATATCTACCTACCATACAGGTTTATCCCCCTTTCTGAAGTTGGTGGTCGTTGGCTGTAGGTAGTAAGTACCTATACTCGTACTCACCTTTTTGTCAGGCGACTTGTTGGTTGCGTCTGATAACGACGCGCCACCTTTGGGCTTCTTGGGCGAGGCCCCATCTTTGTCTTTCTTTTTGGACTTGTCTTTGTCTTTATCTTTGTCCTTCTTTTTGCCTGGCTTCTCCCCGGCAAGAACCTTTTTGACTGCCTCGCCGGACGTTGCCTGTAAAAATGTGAATAATGAACATACACAGGTACAAGAAAAAATTATTGCTGAGGATAACATATTGAAATCGAGGAAACAGCTACAAATTATTTCAAACGGAATCAGGCCCCAGACTTCTAATCTATCGCACGCCTGAAGGCCTCGAGGGTAAACACAACAAAATCAGCAAGAATAGGTAGATCTTATTACCAATCGCACTGACATTAAACGTTTATATAAAAATCAAAATAAGCATACTTATTTGTTAAAATTTTGCGGTACGATACGAATGCCATGGTAGGTAGGTACCTACTCAACGAATGATCGCTACAATGGAATATAGCAATGAAAGTCATCTAACAATGTAACTGCAAAACTGCAACTTTTAATGGGCCGTATAATATACTTAACGTTTTTCGCGGGCGACATGCTCCCCTTTCACTTTGAAGCAAAACAAACGATGAAATATGAAATGAATAATGAAATGGATACACCTCTGGCAACGCCACTCCAAAACCAGGCTCCAAAACAGCTCAAACTCAAATGTAAACAAAGTAGGGATGAGTGCCCCGTTGCCATGACAACGGTGTACATTCAAGGTTGACAGAAGGAAATTCTTGGAGCTATTTTACTGCTAAAGTATGAAGGCACAAAAATTCTTATAGAAATACAGGCGTAGATCTTGGAACGGAATGCTGCATGTGGCACATGAATCAGCATTTATGACTAACACATGTTGTGCTCTCAATGTTGCGGGACGTCTGCTTGCGGACATCATGATGGCAACTACGGAAATGAGAGCGCATGATGCCGCCAAATATGAAATATCGGCTAGACATCCGGTCACCATCCATTTGATAAAATTGTCATCATAGGGTAAAACTGTAAAAGGTGAGCACCAGTCCCCATGTTTAGGACTTAGGTAGTGTTAATGAATGCTTTGAATATTCCCTGACAGAATGACAAATCATCGGCTGAAGCCTGAACGCAATGTCACCAGGCTTCAATGCTTTGGTGGGACAGGCAAGCCTGGTGCTAATTTTTCTCGCTCGCATCGCTACTGGTTAGGTCTGCAAAGGCGGTGGCCGTCTTCCCTGCCCTCGACGTCTTACCCTTCTTTCCCTATATTGTTCCTCGGGCTTGACCCGACATGACCCGACGAAGAGCAATCATCTTTGTTGTCATATTGACGTATAACCACTAACCAGCTGATATAATAAAAAGTAGGCGTATAAGATATCTCAACGCATCACGACAGACAGCAAACCGGCAAGAAAGGCATATTCATCTGTCCCATTACGATCAGATTTGTTGATTGCGAGATATCACGGTTATAAGCTAAATGATAAATAGACAATCAAAATAGCTGCATCATACAGCACGTTGACAAATCGCATAACTAGACACAAGGTTAACAATGTTTCCCGAGCTGCTAATTACCGACTATTCTGAGTCTGTGCCTCTGTCTGCAAAGAGCTAGGGCTGGTTGGCACATCTATACACATTGATCAGTGAGGCGCCAGTTCCATGTACGACGATCTTCACTTCATTCCCTAGCTAGCACAGCGAGGTTAGCACTCGGTTACAAAACTACAAACT